TTCCATCAAAACATCGCGGTTCAAACTTAGGGAGTTTGATGTTCCTTGTCAATGGAGTTGAAGATTGAACGATCAATTCATGGTTGTTTGCTCAAAACCAACTTCCCCAATTTTCGCGGAGGCATCAATACGACAGTCATCGTCTCATCGGTCGCTGTTCAGAAAGAAGAGTGAAACATCGTCAGAAGTAATATTATGATTTATTATTGTAATATTTGTTTTCAGACCTTAGTTCGTTTATTCCTTTTATATGTTGGTGTAACAATAAAGAAATAACAAGCGGCAGATCGGTGTTTTGGTTTTTGCGTCCGTTATTTCTAAGCGTTTCTGAAACTCAAAGGAACAGCGTGGGCCCGAGCGTAGCGAGAGCTGGGCATTAACGGTTTATGAGACGTGATTGACATTCCTATTATCCCTGAACGGCGAAACAGTAACATCAACCATGTCATGCTTAACATCAGACACATCGTTACAATTAACAGACAAGTCAACATGACTTACTTTCCTGTTTGCATCCAAGACGCTCTGGCCTTCTTTGACCCAGGCATTGTTGAAAATGAACCAGTTCCAAAAACGTTCCAGATATTGGTTGATCAAAGAGGACTTGACCGGCACCAGGAAAAATGAACGGCGACTATCCGAACTTTCACCAACTGTTTGAATTCACCAGAATCTGTTTCAATCGTCAGAAACTGTCAATCACGTCTCATAAACCGTTAATGCCCAGCTCTTGCTACGCTCGGGCCCACACTGTTCCTTGAAGATTTCAGAAACGCTTAGTTATAACGGACGAAAAAACCAAAACACCGATTGGCCGCTTGAGAATTCTTTATTGTAACACCAACATATAAAAATTATAATTGAACTAAGGTCTGTGAACAAATATTACAATAATAAATCATAAGATTACTTCTGACGATGTTTCACTCTTCTTTCTAAACAGCGACCGATGAGACGATGACTGGTGTATTGATGCCTCCGCGAAAATTGGGGAAGTTGATTTTGAGCAAACAACCATGAATTGATCGTTCAATCTTCAACTCCATTGACAGCAACTTTTATAAAGTTATAACGTGTAAGCTTGCTTTAGTTAATATTTCTTGCAGCCGTTATTGTCGGTAAGTTTGCTTCTGCTACAATTTCTGGGGCGAAGTTAAGAAAAATTTGACAAAGACTACGAACGCCTACTTCCATGACATACGTGATCGCGTAGCCAAAAAGGAGAGCCGGCGAAGGGTAAGTAAACAGTTTTTTTAAATTAATGTTACTACACTACAAACCGTTTCATGGTGTAAATATCAATCAACTAAATTCCATTTTTATTTCTTAAAGGTTGCAGTTGACAATAAGAAGAGTGATCAGATGATCTCTCCTGTAAGTGACAATTTAACTAAATTAATGCTGTAAAAATCCATAACACGGATTACCAGTAGCGTGTTATAGTCAGCGTCATCATAAGCACTGCTGTTGTCAGCCACGTCTCCTAAACTGTTAATGTCCAGCTCTTGCTACGCTGGGCCTCACTCTGTTCCTCGGAGCTTCTCAGAAATGCTTAGTACGAACGGACGCGAAAACCAGAACACAGATTGGCTACTCGAGAATTCTTTATTCTAACGCCAACATATAGCCAACTTTACAACTAAGGTCTATGAACAAATATTACAATAATGAATCACAATATTACTTCTGACGGTTTTCTCCTGACTTCTTTCTGAACAGCGACCGATGAGACGATGACTGGTGTATTGATGCCTCCGCGGAAAATTGGGGGAGTTGGTTTTGAGCAAACAACCACGAATCGATCGTTCAATCTTCAACTACATTGACAGCTGTTAATTATATTAACTACGTGTAGACAGTTGGTTCAACCTTACATATTTTGTCTATAATAAATAAATTCTTATTGTATGTTGCATGGAAAATTCGACGTAAAATATTACTAAGACTTAAGGTCTTTAAGTGTGAGTATTTCTATTATGTAGACAAATAATTTTATTTATACTCAGTAATTAAGTAAAATTTTAAAGCTGAATAAACACGTTCAATGTTTCATTATTATAATGTCAAATGTCTGTATAAGTATCAATGTGGATTACTAGCTTACTCACTAATTTTTCTCTCTTTTCAGGACAGTTCAAAGGATCTACTTGATGATGGGGAGCAGCAGTAAAAGTGCATTCAGATTTAATATTACAAGGCAATCATTCTACTTGTGTGTATCATTCGCAACTGTAACTGTTTATTAATCCTAAAGAATTAATTTACCGAAGTCTTGTTAACTGTTTTCTTTTAACCAATAAAAAAATCGAATACATTATTTTTTCCGTAAAGAACCTTTATTTGTCTTTTGAGTTGTTTGGCGTAAACAAAATAAGGCCAAAGTAAATGAGTAAAAGGGGGGAAATTCACCGGATTAGCGGTAAAATATGCGTTAAAAAGAGGGAAATTCTGCTAATTCTGGGGACAACCTGACTTTACAAAAAAAGGGGAAAAGGCGACAAAAAAGGGGATAAAGTGGGATGCTGGGGAAAATGGGAAAAGTCTTACTATTTCCCCATTTTTACTCAATGGAATGTCCCCATTTCGTCCCCATTTTGAAAACGATTTTCCCCATTTTTGTCGAATTGGGTCCAGCAGACTTTACATAAACACTCGACAGCTATCAAATTTATACAGGAAATCAGTAAGATTTAGTAAACTAAAAGTACTTTCGGTTTCCATAGGAGTTCCCCGTGCCGATTTTATTCCTTTAAGGGCCCGCAGAGATTAACGCTTCAATTAAATAACACGTCAGTAATGACGTGGAAGAAATTCCATTCTTCATTACTAAACTGAATGAAAAGAATCATGTTTTTTATTCTAAAAACAGGAGCATTCGTAATGTTTCACTTTAAGTTAAATGAAGTTACATACAGTCGCACCAAGAATTCAGTGCAACTCGATGCACAATAGTATATTTACAAATAAACTGAAAAATAATGTCCTCCCTACCTTATGAACAACCTGTCCTTATTACAGGATAATAACTTTCTTTTACCTATGGACCTGAGTTATATATATGAAATCGCAATATTACACCAGTTAAATCTTCCCCTAAAACCGAAGCCTTTTGAAACCAATAGCAACATAGCAACAAGCGTCATTGAGGGGATATGCAATAAAGTCGCTCCGCTGACTTCGGTACCTGTGTTAACCAAGTGTGGTTGACTACATCACGGAAGTAAAGAAGGCGGCCACTGCTGCCAGAGACGGTTGCCGCTTACGCTTGCCGGTGGGATAGTTTCCCGTAGTCTTTAAGCCATTGACAGAATTACAGGGTTTCCGACAACATTTCGCTTCCTGGCCATAGGTATTGTGATATCAACACCAGTCAGGGTTTCTAAGCGAACGTGACTTGGATTCTGACTGACGACAAGGCTTTCACCGTTGAGGGGAATTCGGTAAACGGTAGGAGGAAATACAGGGACTGTTTGACCTAAGTAGTCGCTTAAAGGAGTTGCACAACGCTATCACTTCAGTGCCCCTAATCGAAAACTGTTGACTAGTTGAGCATATTTCAGTGACGCATCGTTGTGTTGTTTCCAGAATCTTATGGGCGGAAGTAGGTAAGTCGCCTATAATAACACCGCGAAGTGTCAGAAGCACAGTCTGTACTGACTGTAGCAATTTGGATAAGAACAGCTCTCTGAAGAGCCCCTCTTTGAAATGACGTTGGTCGATAACTTCCCTCATTATTGTTAGCATGTTCACAGCCGATTGATCACCTAACTCAACACTGAGTGGTTCTACAGGACGCTGTGGGTCCGTGAGATCCTTTCTCTTAAGGAGGGCTGCTTGAAGCACCTCCTACGCGTTACTTACTTCTGGGCTTGATGTATGCACAGTTAGGCTTCCCGCGTTACAGCCTGGATGACTGCGTAAAACTGTAAACATTGGTCAGTGATACCATGTTTTCTGAAATCACACTCAGCCATCTGAACCCATGATTCCGCATTATCTGGCCAAAATAGCACAACCTGAACAGTACTGCTAGTTGGTCCACTACAGATAGGTTTGCGCGTATGGTCGCCCATGGAGAAATATATACTTAAAATATAGTATAGGAAAAGAAATACAAAATGGAACGAACTCACCGGATTTGTCTGCATGTTTACCGAAGACGAGGTTCGCAGTGGGGCTCGCCACTATAGAGACTGAGTGTGTTGGTGCTAACAGATAATACGAAGTATACTCACGCAAGATCTAATGGCCACAACTTTTACAGTATTTGTTCCGCGCAGACAAAAGGAAAAGCAAAACTCTAGAACTGACCATCCAAATTGCGAGTTATATTCCGGGACAATTTTTATTAATTATTTGAAAATAAATATGTTAAGCCAGGGATTGTGCACGAAAAAACGTTCGTAACACGACGGCGTGCCTAATGGTGTGGGTGCTTGGCCGTAAGCCTTCAGCTAAACAACTTGACTTAAACGGTGAGGGACAGCATCCAATGTTCACTGATGAATGCCGTGGCTAAGAATTCCGGGGATCTACCTATTTCTATAGAAGTATGGGCCTCGTGAACACAGTGGACCAATTATTAGACCATGCCGATGGACGGAACATAAATGGCTATACGGTGGACCTGCAGCAGACTCTGCGCTTCTTTTTATAGTATACATTTTTTTACTTCGCTTCTCCTTGTATGCGTAAATTTGTCATGCCAGTTGGTCTCTCAGTATGTGCTGTTTTCTATTTTAAAGGCCAATGATGTCCTTTTAAACCTTTCGTCTTTATCTTGTGGACGACTCAGTCAAACAGTGATTATATTAGATATGTTGAAACTACTTGGCTACTTATTCTCCTCAATTGACATGCCCTACTTAAAAACCGCCTCTAACTATCTTAGCACTTCTAGCGTTCCACAATATATCAATGAAGTCTTTTCTCCTCATTTAACGAAAATCTTGAGAGAAATTTCATTGGGTAAGTAACTGTTTAATTACTGTTGTTTTAATGTATCAGACTCCTACTCGATAGTGGAGTAGTTAAGTCCTCAGCCAGCTGATTTTGGTGAACTGTTTTCATGGTATCTCATCTGCCTTGCATCCTAAGTGTTATCTGACGTGTTTTTACTTCGTTTGACTCCAAAAACGGCTAGTTCAAACTTTAACTATCTGCCAAACAGAGCCTACCAATCACACTGAGCCACTAGCAATAATTAAGGAGTATTAAGTATCGAAAAATTCTTGAGGAGAGACTAGTTCGTAGTGTTCTGAGGTCCAGTGATGTTTATGATCCTGTTGCTTAGTCTGTACTTAAATATCAACCCTAGAAAAGGCTAGTATTCGTATCAACTTCGTCGAGGTACTTGGACATGCGGATCCGGACGAATGATTCGTGTGTTTAGAAAGAAGCCTCCACTGAAATTGCTCCCGTAACGCCGAGAACTAGCTCTCAATGCTGAAAACCTTGATCAGAAAGCAAAAAGGCTTATCGGCACTGGATTAATATTGGTAATACGGAAAGAATAAAACGAAGAACGTGGCAACTCGAACTGCTGCACTTCGGTGCCAAGTTCTATGTTGAATCCAGACAGATAGATATAGTTGTTAAAAAGGTTCTTTCAAAATATAGCTACAATTTATTTTTAGGTAGTCTTAGGCAAATTGATGTACCGCAAAGTCGCGCACTAATTAGTTGTATTCCACTTTTATTGATGGTTTATGGTGAAATCATTAGCAAGGCAGGCTGAACTACAGTAAGTTGTTAGTGGTTGATACTTCTTCCTGGCCTGACCTCACCGATTACTGTGATCATTTTCATGAACTTTTCACTCTCTGATGTTTTCCTGTCTATACATAACTTGCTCCTTATTTTTCTCCCACTACCTTTTTATCCATCCTTCGGACTTCATTTCGCTTAGTTTATAGGTACGCTTTATTTTAATCACCTTTTTGGGTTGTGAGATGTGCATTAAGTTTATACTTACATACACACTGTTCATTCTTATCGGATGTATAACCTTGGATTTGTGCTACCAATCCAATTTGTTGTGATGAACTTTACTTTTTGACACATTAATTCTTAAATGCATTGTTGGTGTCGAATTATTTGACTTTTAGGTTGCGTAGTTTCCAGTTGTATTTACAACCGATGGTTGGGATAGAAGATTTGCCGCAGGATTTATTTTACCAAATTTGTTCCTACCTACAAATTAGTGATCTTGTTGCTGTGTCTACTGTGTGCAGACAATTCAGTCATTGGTTAGGCCGACAGTCGTACTGGAAATGGCGGTTACAGAATCTATGGAATGGCAAGTATCCTTGTTTACCAGGTTAGCACTCTCGCATTACATCTACCAAATTTAGGAAAGATTGTAGATTGGTCATCGGTGTGTTTTGAAAGGGAAAAATGTTTCACAATCTTCGGTAACGATTCATGTGAATGTTTTCGTGTGTCCAAACTTAACGCTGTTGATGAAGGCATTGATGCTCTACATATCCCTTTGGTATTCACTACTTAGTGCTGATAATGATCTTTTTCACAGAGACATTCTGAATTACTTCTCGTGGGTGGCAGGGAAAAAGTGGTTTCTATATTTTCATTCAAAAGTGGACTGCTTTCCGATGCATGGCACCCCATATTTACTGAAAGTAATAGCCATTCTGTAAGTTTTTTTCGTATAATCAATAGTGTATCAAATGTTTTCACATACTTTCTAGTTATTTTTCTATGCTTAAATGATGATTTGACATGTAGATTGTTACTGCTAGGTATTTATTTGTTATTAAAATGCATTTGGTGTTAATTTAAATTATTGATGCAACTTTAGATCGTGGTCAGTTATGATTTGAAATCAGCGGATTCTACATTATATCCTATACTTCATCAAAGCACTATCACAGATTAAAGGTGAATGCTTGAATTTTTATCTTTTGTTATTTGGACCGACCCGACGTTGTAGATGTGCTAGCTTAAGTGGATCTATTTACTGAAAAAGCAGCTTAAAATCAAAGATTTCATATGCAAATACATGACACGATTAGAAGTAGTTTCTCAGATAAACATTCACGAGTATCTAGCATATTAAGTCCATCCAATATATAATATTTATGTGTTTTGACGTAATGGCGATAGGCAACACTAGGCAGCTATTTAGACTCATCAGGGAAACGGGTGGGAGAAGACAAATAATAAGTGAAATAGTCTTGGAGAAAAATGGCACCATAATTAGCTCCCAGGATAGACGACTGGAACACTGGAAAGAGCGCTATGAGGAGCAGTTTAATTGGCCTACAGCCACGCTCAACCTGCCGAACACCCAACACCTCCCTGAATGGGATATAGACACAAGTCCTCTGTCCCTAACTGAGGTTACTAAAGCTGTCACTAGTCTGAAACAAGACAAAGCAGTAGGACCTAGTGAAATGACTCCAGAGGTATTTAAGTACGGTGGAGACAGTTTACTGTCTGCATTAACTTAGGTACTAGGCAGCGTCTGGGAATCAGAAGAAGTGCCATCGGGTTGGTGTAAGTCACTGATTATCCCCATATACAAGAAGGGAGACAAGTCTTCCTGTGATAATCACAGAGGGATTAGCTTGACTAATATAGTATCTAAAGTCCTAGGCTCAATAATATTGCGTACACTACTAAGTGGTGCTCGGGGGGCACAAGCACGAGAGAACCAGGTAGGCTTCAGACCAGGAAGAGGGTGTATTGATCATATCTTCACCCTCCGACAGATTCTAGAACATAGGCATTCTTACCAGCGCCCAACAATCATTATATTTCTTGACCTTAAGGCGGCATTCGATTGTGTCGACCGAGAGGTTCTCTGGCGATGGTTGGCTGTAAAGGGTATGCCGAGAAAATACATTGCTCTGATCAAGGCACTCTACTCGAACTCAAGCAGCCAGGTGAGGGCTTACGGCTCGTTGTCACGTAAAGTGGTGACGACTAGTGGTGTCCGTCAGGGATGCCCATTATCCCCATTTCTATTCAATTTCATCATAGATGTACTGATGGACTTAACCCTAACTGACTTCAACGACTCAGGGATTGACTTTCTACCAGGCAATAATCTTGTTGACTTAGAATATACAGACGATATAGTCCTTCCAGGCGAGGACGCTGACAAAATGCAGATTCTTATAAACATCTTGAGCTGCAATCTACGGATGTTTGGAATGCGATTCGCTCCCGCCAAATGCATGATGTTACAGGACTGGACTACATCGACGCCTAGTTCAAAAATAGGAAGTGAAGTGGTAGAGCACGTCGACCGCTTTACTTATTTGGGAAGTACCATCAGCGAACGCCAACGGATTGATCTCTGATGAAATCTCGGCTCCGTCCTCCTTTATGGCTGTGAGACCTGGCCACTGAGAGTGGAAGACATGAAAAGACTAGCTGTCTTTGATCTTAGGTGCCTGCGCTCTATTTCCCGTGTAAAGTGGCATAATAAGGTGAGCAATATTGAGGTTAGGCGTGGAGTTCTAGGTAAACAGGGGAAATCAGTCGACGAAGTTGTGAAGTTACAAAGACTGAGATGATTAGGACATGTGTTACGTATGCCTAGCCATCGCCTTCCTCGACGAGCAATGTTAGCGGATATAGGGTCAGGCTGGAAAAAAGCTAGCGGCGGTCAAACCAAAACATGGCACCAGTCAATGAAGTCTACAACAGTTAGTCTAAGCCACGTAGGAAGGTGTAGACTTCCTGGTTGGGGTCCTCGGGACGGTAAAAACCAATGGTGGGAAACAATTGGTGACATGGCTCAAAATCGTTCTCAGTGGCTCAGATGCATCCACTCCTTGTGAATTATGATTTCCAATGGAACTGTTTTGTTCTTCGTTTATACTCTTTCTTTGTCTCACACCTATGCTTACTGTTTCTATTATGCTTTTCTTGTACTTTGTTCTCTTGCTTTGTGTGCTACATGGAGTGTGGCGACTTGAACTGCTGCACATCGGTGCAAAGTTCTATGTTGAAAACAGACAGACATGGTTAACTTGTGTCAGTCGTATCAGACATTACCATTTTTTGATTATTATGAACCGAGAGGACGAACCTGTACGAAAGATAGAAAGAATTCGTCTTTTATTTCACGGCTTTTACCATCTGCTAGCAGCCTGAAGTTGACAAGTTATTATAGATGTAGAAGTATGTGATACACCTGAGAATTATTTCACCTCAGAAAGCATAATTGTGGAGCGAGAGATATGAACCAAAGATAATTAATAATCTAACCACCAGAGTTTATTTATACATAATGTGATGGCAAGTTTGAGAGGGGAGGATTGGGTTGAAAGAAAACGATGCAATTAAAATTAGTACGTAAACAAACAAGTGAACTCCAAGATCAACAAAACACAGAAGCAAACTGGAGACTTCTAATTATCGGGGTAGTGTGATGTAAATATGCTGTCTTTGTGTATACGGGAATTAGATTGGCATTTTTATTCCTGCAAATATGTTGGTTCTGTCTCTGTTCAAATTACTATTTTATATATAATTGGTTCAGTCGTTACTAGGAGACGTGACATATTTCAACCACAGTTGTGGAAGCATCACATTGTTTTGAAAAATAATTTACGATCGGCTGATTTAAGTTGTATAGTGTAGACATAAATTAATACAGATTAGTGCTTACCTGTCTACTCTCAATTATTTATGGAAATCTACACATCAGGTTCATCTTGGACTTCATTAAAGTCATTAAAAACTGACCGCAACTTCAAACAGCTTGCAAACATCAAGCCATTTTTAATGTTATTGATTCAACATGGCAGTCATGCATATATAAACCACTTCCTATGTACTAGGATGTTCAAGTATTAGTTTTGTAGGGATTTTTGTCCGATTGGTTGGAGGATTTCATCATGAGCTGACATCAGTTAGAGACCCATTGGGAAACCTTAGGGGAGTACTGGACAGCCGTTTCGTCCCAGTTTAGGACTCTTCACAATGGGCACGTAGCTGGGTTCTAACCCAGGACCTTCTCGTAACAGGGCGAGCTCGTAGACCATTAAGCCAATGGGACCGGATCCGATGGCCCATGCATTATAACTTCTGCCAATTCATGACATAGCGCGACCATTTCACAATGTCTTCTTCGATGAGTTGCTGCCTCACTTTCAACCTGCTATACCCTACTAGTCACGGCTTCCCACTAGGATGTCTAAATTATTGGAGTCTATTACCGGTAAAACATAAAACTGATATCTGCATTGTGACCTACTTCGTGTTGTTTAAAGTAGTTTCGTGTAGTTCCGTAAGTCTTTTCTAAAATATACCAACACATTGTTTTCCAGTAACTTTATTAGTCTGCATAAATGAATACCACAGAAACTATATTAGGTATTACGGTATATTAGGTTGTATATTAGGAAGGAAACTAGTAAATTATGAGAGTTCTTTAAACACTTTTACACTATTTAAAACACTAAGTGATGAACAGTGACCAGAAATAGTTGTGATAGAAATTACAAAGTTTTGGGAACAAGAATATTGTTGATGAGAGTAAAGGATATTTAAGTTATGTTATTAAACACAAGGAACTAAAGTGGAATTTTCACAGCAAAATCGTCATCGTTCTTTACTATGTACACTGTTGTCGTATTTATACCTTTTTAAAATTGCTATTATGTGTCAATATTGTGGGTAGAATTTTTTCTTTTTCTGACGAAATTTAGTTGTATTTTTGGCATACTTTTGTTTTTTTTAAACGCTATTTTTCTACTCAGTTTTCTAACGTATTCTGTCTTAGGGTTGGTTATGGACAATAAATTCAACAGACGATACTGTAATCACAGGTGGTTGGGATAGTGTAGTAAGAGTATGGAAGTTGACAAACTCAGGTCTTGCACCCCAATCAGTGTACGAGTAAGTTTTATGCATTCTGAACCATGTAGTAATTTCAGTGTGTTGCTTTTATCCGACATAGTGTGCATTCTTCAAGGTGAAAGTTCTATTTAGAACAGTTTGCTTTGCATTTATGTGTTCGTATGTGTTAACCACCGATTAGCCTACAAAAAAGATAACGTGTACAAATCATTTTGCAAACTAGCGTCCCCTTGAAGGCATACTATCTCAGTACAAAAGGTTTACATTTATCCAAATTATTACAGTCATTTTTTTATTATTTTATTACAGTATTTTTTTTACTCTAAAATTGTTTATCCGATTAAAACTAACAGCATTTACATAAATCATCACGTATAATATTAAAAAGTTCCACCTTATACTCTGTTTATAATGGTTGTCGCACACTAATTGAGAAAGTCCAACAGTCATCGATCTAATTCTTGCGGATTATGAATTCGCAAAATAAGCAGTATATCAACCTATAAAACAGAAATAGACTCTTGTTTATCGTCACTGCATTAACCTACGAAACAACTGACTGAAGGATTCATTCACTGTCACGAATACCAAACCCTTTGTACAGGCCAACACACAGTAACAAATCACATTATTGAAGGGCGGGATCTGTATTAGATTGTCTTCCAGCGTATTATACAGTCGACATCTGTCATCATAAATCTACCTATCATTGCTGTTCCAGAACATCTCAAAGGAATAGGGTGAATTATTAAATAAGTGGGACTTGAAGTTTCGCTGAGATTCCATCGAAAATAAGAACTATCCACTAAAGTTTTCAGTTAAGATAACGGACTTATTATTGGGTATCAAATGTCAATAAATAAATGCATCATCGAGGAAGGGGATATGCCTCCCTCCCTCCTCCTATATTAGGAACCATCCCATCGGTTCAGGTTTACAAATGCAAATATCGTGTAAATGCACATAACAACATTGATTAGCCATTTATGCAGCTAAACCATGATAAGTGAATAATTATTGTAAACAATATGACGATCATATGAGTTAAACAGTATCACACCAAGGTGATCAGGAAATTTAAGTGCATTTGACGGTCTTGGGACATTTCCCAATTTACAGTCTATCACACCGTTCCCTATTAAAATATGCAATGAGGATCTACAGATTGTTTTCACAACGGATATACTGAAATAAAAGGCTGGCTAGATGTATCAAACAACTTGCAGACATGTCCGTTAACATGCTAATTAATTGTTTTCGTTACCATTACCTTAGAGTTTCTCAGACTGACCTCAATAGGTAAAACTTATCACCTATGCTGATATAAAGTAAAGGTATTTGTGAACAACAGATTGATCAGGAAGAACAAATCAGCATCTTGCGTAGTGTTCAGATATTTTTTCCATTCCTTCACATTCCCAGTGGGACATAGGGCTTCAAGCTAGAGGCTTGAAGTTTCTGTAACAGTGTTTATTTTTACAGGATGCTGTTGCTAGCTTTATGCCCAACCTTTCCTCTTTACCAGCTTTGTTACTAGCTTAGCGAGGTAAAGGAGTGCGTCGGCTGGGGATTAAACTCCGGACCACATGCATGGTCGGTGAGCATTTTACCGCTGTACCACCAACGCACAATGTTCAGATATTCCAAATGGTTTATTTGCTGCTGTGATGCCGGTTTTGTGACTCACTGTATAAAGTACACACTTTTTAAGCTCACGTCAAATAATCTTCGATTACATACATTGAAGCGAATTGGAAGTCAGTTGACGAGCCGATGTTTGAACGCGTACACCTGATCAACTCTTATCGTCCTAGATTACCAGTTGAATTGGAAATAAGAGGAATACAGCTACACTGTGCTTCATGCATCTGTACGCATCATCCCTCTTAGAACAATATGAATTACTTTAATTTCGAAATCATCTCTATCTGTTCACAATTATCTGAGTGATATTGGAGAAGTAATTTCATAAACATCACTGATATCTGACTGGTCATTTGTGTCAGTTAGTAGGAAAGTTCACAGGTAAGTGACTGTGTGCTAACGTGAGCTGTACTTATTAATCATGTTTCTACGATAAATTAACTCAGATGTCTCATCTTCGATTATCTGTGTCCCTTGTGGCATCGGTTAGGGATTTAGCTTGTGTTGGTGTCGCACTAAGCGTTATAACCGACGTTGCATTACTTGACTGAAACCTATCGAATAGTCGTTTATATGCTGGTAGATTAGAGTTTTATAAGACGGAAGAGTTTTGATTTTTTCTCGCGTCTACTTTTCAGATTGATGAATTCCAGGCCTTATTCACGTAATAATGAGTTGTATCATAAACAGACTAACGTTAAATATGTGCACTCAACAGATATCGGTCTAGGTATAACTTGGTACCCTAAGTGATGCAACTTTGGGAAGCTTGGAAATATGGACGGATTCACTTCTGTGCAACGTTCTACTACCATTCCTTGTGTAGTAAACTACATGTCAGATGTACTGTGTGAAGGCTCCTCAACAGGCTTATCAGTAATTTCGTCTGTTGATAACTTATAGCTCTGTATATGCACACTTTTCTGCAATATGAATGTTCTCTGGTGTCTTGATATTTATTGTTAGTTCTCTTTGTATTGAAATACAGTCATGTTGTTTCATTTACAATAAGTTTTACATAGACATGTTGGCTTTCAATAAATATAAATATCTGTATATATTATTACGCATCAGTGTGTTTTCATTCAAAAAATTTGTTCTCTATGTCTTTGTTAAGCCTAATGCATGTCGTTGAATATTTTTGGTTTTGTTCGTTAATTTCGTATCATATTCACAGAGTAAGCAGTCCTGTTCTGTGCTCAAGTTTTTTGGATTCCAATACATTAGCAATTGGTACCCAAGGTCGATATGCGTACCTACTGGATCTACGTTCTTTTGAAAAAGAACCATCTGCTCTGCGTCATAGGGGAGCTGTCGTTTGTATGGATTCTATATACGAAAGTGGTTTAAGTTCGGTTATCTCAAATGAGTTCATCTTTAGTAGAAATAATCATGCGAATGATGGTCTTGCTCGCGGTGATCATGTGTATGCAGAATACAGCTCCCATTCAGACTTATCGTCTATAGCAGCTAGTGAAGAAAATTTCTGTGAATCCGTAGTTGATCCATTTGAAATAGGAAATCTTATATTGGACAATTGTGCATCCATTTCACCAAAAGTGTCTACAAAGAGTGAACAAGATAAGAAAATTAATTATAAGCGAGAAGATACAGAGACTGTTGCTGATGATCTCAGCCAGTCTCATAAATACTCATTCTCCAATTTTCATCTCTTCACTGGGAGCTCCGATCAACACATTGCTGGTTGGGATGTGAGAAATGCATCGTGTCCAGTCCATAGACTCAAAGTGAGTAGAATTTATCACCTTAATCATTGTATCAGTATACTGATTTACGGAGTGAGGTGTCTAAACCTAATATTTAATGTCTGGATTTTCATCTGTTGCATTTTTGTTTGCCGCTGTCATTTGCCTTAGTAATGATCACTATGTAGGAGAAACAAGCATATGTTCCCACATTCTGTCTCGAATTACAAAGAATTGTAAAGAATCACAATCATATCCATGATTATGAGCAATAAATTTTGCTCGAAACTTCATTCACTTATTAATATTTTATCACTGTGTTTCGCGTCAAATAAACTTATTTAATATGGAATTGCATTCTATTACAGTACCCAAATTCTACACTTACATCAATGAGAAGAAACAATATTTGCGTGAAAGTAATTGTTCATAACTATCTGTTTCGGTTTTATTACTTATTTATTGCTAGAATTCATTCAGTCTTACTGCCATTAAATTTCTTCAAACATTGTGGGAAGATTACTGTCTGTTTCCACAGGTGGGCAGAAGAACCCAGAAGTTGTACATGTTTTCTGTCAATAGCCGATTCTCCAAGCTTTAAAGGTAGTTAGGATAAAGAGCTTGGAATAAGCTATCCTATTATCAAATGGACTATCTTTTGTCAAATGGTAATATTAATTTTCAACGTCAGATGTATTGATGTTTATTCTTCTTTTCAGATCGATGTTAAATATGCATTCATCATAGTGTTGATGTGTCTTCAGTGAGACTATGATCTAACAGCTTAGGAACTGAAATGACTATTAAAAAAAGCTACATATGACGTACTGAACATTAGTTATTACTGTCAAAGCGATCAATTCAAGTTACTACCATTAAAATATCAACACACCTATACACGTAACTAATCTGTTAATGGAAAGTCGTACATTTATTCCCCGAAAAGAACTATACGACATCTGTCGCCGTAGTAACACCATTCAATTCACCAAGTTATTATACACATCACAGTAGGATTTATAAGTAACGTATAAAAAATAATATTTATTCATTATTTGAATTTTGTCAAGGGAACTAATTGTGTTAAGTAATCAGAAAATTCAATCACTGCCACCATCCAACTGGCCTATATATGGTACATAAAACGAAAAGGTATTCAGTTGTTAAAGCATCGTTGGATGTGGTGTATATTTCACAGTAAAAGCATCAGTATCCCATAAGATGTGGATGCAACTGCCAAGTGAGATGAAAATGGAAAGAAGTGCGCACCCTGAGTCTTATTTTTAGTCTCCTTTAGCATTGCCCTGCCTCTTTTCCTCCTTAGTGTTATTATTTTTATAAGGTCGTATTTTCCGAAAAAATTACGATTATTACTGTTCACTATTATTAAAACACCAACTTGGTACATCATGGGCATCAAGAGATGTGCCGCACAACATCTCATAGTTTGTGAGAGGGCTGGAATACTCCTCGAACCTCCAGGGGGCCGCTCCCGAGCCTATCACTTGAATTCTAATCCACAATGCAGTGGAGCTGTGTTCTCATCGTTTCCGGTGACCAACACTGTTCGGATTCTGGAACCCGTGTAAACCATAGGTTGGGAATCAGAGTTTTCCAGCTATCCTAGGTTTACATGCATGTTCACTAGTTTGGCTGTAAGTTCGTATTCGCCTATTGGCCTTTATGAAGAACATCGTCGCATGAAGGCAGTAGAAGCTGCTGACGCATGGCTACGGTATCATTATTACATTTCGTCATGGGGTTTTATCTTGTTTTACCATGGAATTCTCCTAATTATCTATTTGCATGTATATCTAGATTAATAAGTTATTGTTATTGTATTCTTTATGGTAGGTGGTTTAATTGCGATGCTATTACTGTCCTTCTGCACAAAATCGGCTCTAATTTCACTTTAGTGTGAATTTATCCCTGATGATGTTATCCAGATTGACGGCGTAAGCTTGACAGTTAAACCACCTATCGCACAGTAAACAACACCAAAAACATCTACTCGAGCTGCGATTCCCCCCATTGTTTCAATATCCCACGAGTGGTCAGCACTTCTGTCTGTTCAAATAGTAAATTTGTGTATAGTATATCATTCGGTATGCATGGAGGCTATATGCTTTAAAATTTTACCAGACATGTAATTTTATACCTTTTTGGTTTCTTTCCTCTCTTCAGTCTTTGGTGTTTATCTTTTCAGTTGACCAGGCTTCCAAGAAAGATATCTCTACTGGATGAAAATGAATTATGGGTCGCTGAACCACCTAATCGAGTTCACGTATTCGACATTCGTGATAATCACTTAAATTGTGCATATGTAAGCCGTGTTTTTAAATTCCTTCGAAATATTTACTATGTCTAGAAATTAGATTGCTACTAATACCAGGTTTATTAATGCCGATCGATTAATTTTCATTTGATTACATTGTGTCTCTCACCAAAGGATGATACTGTTATGTAAACTGTTTACATTGTAGGCTTGAATGACAGTCGAAGAACACTTAGAAATATTTATTCGAATATTACTATTTCATTACTCCAAATAAATATCCACCTTTCCTATTGATGAAGATTATCACATTCAGTTTACGTTGGTTGTTCGCTGAATTATGATCATCTGGGATATGTTACTTACGCATTTTGGATAATTACTGTGATATTTATTATGTAATTAGGATAGAGGAATGCTTACTACTATTTTTTAACAATCCGTTACGTTTCAAGTGGGATATTAAGCTTCAAACTTTGGCTTTGAAGTTTCAATGGTAATGGCGCTCTTCTTAAAGGGTGTGGTCTTCAGCCTCACCCCCAACCTTCCATTACTTCTAACTTTATTACCAGCTAAGTGAAGTTTATGAGTGCTTCGGCTGGCAGTCGAACCAGTACCACATAAGTCGTTAGCAAAGGTCCTACCATTGGATCACTGACACATGTTTGTTATGACTAGATCATATTAGACTGTCCGACACAATACCTAGTTGATTAGTACAAGATGAGATAATTGCTGCTGCATACCTAGCTTCCTTCAGATTTTTCCACAGTTGGTATCACACCATTCAACCGGACTTTGAATTTTCCATTTTCCTTAAGTAGTCTGCAGCTTTTATCCAAATGATATTTCTATGAGTTTTTAATAGTCATTTTGTTTGTGTTATCCCTTTACGTCTTGTTGACTGCTAACGATTGAAGTTGAGTAAGAATGACGTATGCGAATGTTTAAAAGATGTCCAACTAATTTTAGTGGGCCTTTCACCTGAATAACTAACTTTATTTCTAAGTTTACATGCTGTTGAGATTTTCATGACCATTATCATTTCCTAACATCGTATTACTTTTTTTCACATCTATAAAATACAGTCATGGTTATCTGTTTTTCTTTTTATATTATTATTCTCCATATCTTTTGTTTTGTTTAGACAAACCAACTCCCTGGATGGGATCGTGGTTTCGGAGGTATTAAAGCCACATCTGGATGTATCTTCGTTGCTGGTTTACATGGCTCTGTTGAAGCCTTTCACCCCACATGTCCACTACTACCAATGGGCGGAAAACCATTGCAGGAAAAAATCTTTGCTTCCCCTACCAGTGTATGTGATACGGCAATTTTATTAATTTTATGATGTGATAATGCTTCTGGTTATCGTTATTCCTTTGAGTTCCGAGTGGAACACAGGGCTTCAACAACACATCTCCATTTTGTTCTATCTTCTGCCATCCTCCTCAGCTGGGTCCACGGTTGCCCAAACTCTCTCACCTTTTTCTCACACTATCTCCTCCATGTCGCCCTCGCACTGAGGACCCACTCTTCGCTTTCCATTTGGATTCCACGCAAACGATGGCCTGCATTGCTTGCGATGTCATTTGATCACCTCAACACGTGCCCGATCAATGCATCCCCATTTTCTCCCACATATGTGTTGAGCGATCGGCTCTCGCTTGTTGGTTTGTTCCCAGCCAGAGTTTTTTGTTACTAATTCTTTCTGGCCATCCGGGTGGCCATTCAATCTTCAGTGCGGAGCCGGCTAGCGAAGTGGGCGGCTGTTGATAAAAGTCTGGAGTTGGCTGTTGTAAATGCTTTTCGTGGCACGCTAGCCAAGTTTCTGACCCTTATAGAAGCACTGACCGACTTGACATTGGTGTTGAAAATCCGAATCCTGGTCTTTGTGTTGGCTGAGTGGAGAAGATTTCCGAATTGGTTTCAGGTTGATGAAGGCGTATCTCGCCTTTTCGATTCTGGCTGGCTGGCTTTGGCATCTTCATTGGTTCCCAGTCAGAAAAGTGAAGAGGGTAACCTCTGTTAAATGTCTACCGTTGATGCTGATTGGTTGGTTGTTGGTGCTATTTGTTGTTGCTGTTGGCGGTGGTGATGGTTGGTTATCTTATCACCTGACACGTGTCAGGCATTGTCATATAGCCAGCTGCTGAGTGGGGTTGATAAAGATTTAGGAACTGCACTCTGTAGTGTTGAAGCCGTTTCCAAATTACTGCTCGGTCAACTGTCGATGAAGTGAAGACACACGTTTGACTGTCATTCTATGATTTGTTCTATGATGATGCGTAGAGTTGCAATTTGATCAGCACATGATTTGTCTTTCCTGAATCCAGCTTGTTCTGGTTGGTGGGGTGGAGTTCTGTATCCAGTGAATCTTTTATTGTCTCCAGGATGATGTGACTTAGTATTTTACTCGGCGTGAACGAGAGAATTATTCCACACCAGTTCTTGCTCAGTGAGGCGTAAGTCTTCCTTCTTTGGCAGCTTGACAAGGTAGCCAACCTTTCTTCCAGTTGGTAGGTACGGACACTTCACATCCTCATTCCTATTCTTGCTTTGATCTTGAGAAGACACATCGGCTGACTGGCTTTCTTAAGGCTTTCACCAACCGGCTGTGGCATTTCGTTTTCCGATTCCAGAGAAGAATATGATCGTTCCTTGTATTTTTTTTAAATCTTTAATATATATATATTTCTGTGTGTTGAAGTTTCTCTAGCGGTTTGATAGGTTTAGTGGTATGGGTTGCTAGCCGTGCGGCCAACTCGGGCTTGGGACCGGCTAGAAAACTATTAATCTAGTTATTTAGGCGAGGTTATGCTTGTAGGTGCTGATTAACATTTTCTCTGACGGGGTTATGTTACTCTGAGTCACGTATATATATATATATATATATATATAATTATTATAACCTTCAATTGCTAGAGGAACATAGGGCTTCAGCTGCGCGTCTCCATTGCCTTCTGTTTTCTGCCAACTTTTTCACCCCGCTCCAAGTCTTCCCACATGCTTTCATCTCCTCCTCACATGACCTCCAAGTCACCCTTACACTGATGACCAACTCGCCGCTTCCCTTTCGGGTTCCACTAGAGCGATGGCTTGTCTAGTGATGTCACTTGGTGGTTTCCTCAGAGTATGACCAATTCACCTCCATTTCTTCCTGCCTATTTGTTTCACAATCGCTTCCTGGTTGGTTCGCTCCCAGAGATCACTCCTATTGCTGATCTTTTCTGGCCATCTGATCTTGAGTATTGAGCGAAGACAACTGTTAATGAAGGTATGAAGTTTGTTTGAGATGCTCTTTATGACGCGCAGTGCAAGTCTCTGATCCATCCGTAGAGTAGCACTGACTGACTTCACATTGGAGTTGGAAATCCGGATCGTATTTTTGATTCTGAGTGCTGTTGACCTCCACACAGACTTGAGAGTAATGAAAGCTTGTCTTGCTTTTCCGATCCTTGGTTTGATATCCTCATCAGTTCCGTCGGCCTGTAGTTGAAACGATGCTTCCCAGGTAGGCAGGTGAAGGAGGTTGTTTCTTTCAGGTTCCTCCCATTTATTCTGGCTGATTGTTGTCTGTTGTTGTTGCTGTGCTGTTGGTGTTGGCCAGGAATCTTCATCACCTCTGTTTTCTCTATGTTCACTTGAAGTCCTATCTTTGATGCTTCTTCTGCCAACTTGTTGCTTTTCACTTGCATATCTTCCAGTTTGTGAGAAATCAGACATATATCATCGGCGAAATCCAGATCCTCCAAGTTTTTTGTGTGAGTCCATTTTATGCCTGTTTCCTCATTGCCGTTGTCTGTCGCATTATCCAATCTACTGCAATCAGGAAGATCATTGGTGATAGTAGACAGCCTTGTCTCACTCCCGTCCTCACTTCGAAGGCTTCCGTAAGTTTCCCGTTGTGGATTACTTGGCATGCAGCATTGTCGTATAACTGTTGGATGAGATGTATAATTGTCGATGGGACCCCCTAGTAGCGAAGTAGTTGCCAAATACCCTCTCGATCGACGCTGTCGAAGGCCTTTTCAAAGTCGATGAAGTTGAGTGAGGAGAGGTGACTGCCATTCCAAGCTTTGTTCAATGATGATCCGTAGAGTGGCGATTTGATCAATACATGATTTGTTTCTCCTGAATCCGGTCTGTTCCGGTCGAAGTTTTTCATCTAGGGCTTGTTTGATTCTCTCCAGGATGATGCGGCTTAGTATTTTGCTTGGAATGGACAGAAGCATAATTCCACGCCAGTTTTTACATTGACTTAAGTCTCCTTTCTTTGGTAGTTTGAATAAGTATCCTTTCTTCCAATCCTCGGGTACTTTGCCCTCTTTCCACACCTTCTCCAGTAGTGGTGTCATCAAGTCCGCTGTTGTCTCTGGGTCTATTTTCAAAGCTTCTGCTGGGATTCCATCTGGTCCTGCTGCTTTTCCGGTTTTTAGCATCTTGATTGCATTCAGGACTTCTGATTTCGTCGGGGGTCGATGTTCACTGGTAGTTCTGCTTCCGTTGTTGGTATTGTTGGGCGCGTTGTAGGTGGCGGACGATTTAGAAGTCTTTTGAAGTGTTCAACCCAGTGTTTTCTTTGCTCTTCTTCTTTGGTGATTGACTTTCCATTGTCATCCTTTACTGGCTTAATCTGTGTCGAACTTTTGCCCGATAGGTGCCTAGTTGTTTGGTAGAGTGTGGCGAGGTCTCCTTTGCCTGCAGCTTGTTCTGCTTCATTTGCCATGGTTTCATAATATTTTCTTTTGTCTTCCCTGGCACTCTTCTTCACTCTTTTGTTCAGTGTATTGTAGCTTGCATTCAACTCCTGTTTTTGTTGCTCGTCGGTGCACTGGATAATCTTTTGTTTCACTGTCCTTCTCTCTTCTATTAGTTTCCAAGTGTCCGTAGTGAGCCACTGTTTGTCCTGCCTCTTCTTTCTGCCTAGAACTTCCATGCAGGTTTGACTCCACACCGTTTTCAAGTTGTCCCAGTGCTTTTCGACGCCGACTTCTTCGCTAGTGTTGATTTGTGTCTCGGCTTTGTCCTTTATGCTTGCAATGAAGATGTCCTTTGTAGCCTGGTCCTTCAGCTTTTGAGTGTTGAACTTGGCTTGTGGTCTATCTGCAGCTCCTGTTTCCCTGAAAGCTTTTAATTTGATTTGGATTGTCCCTTGTACGAGATAGTGGTCTGAGCCAACGTCTGCTCCTCTTCTTGCTTTTGTGTCCAGTAGGCTGCGCCTCCACTTCCTTGAGCATTGAGATGAAGTCGATTTGGTTTTTGGTTTGCCCGTCTGGTGACACCCATGTAGCCTTGTGGATATCTTTGTGTTTGTATACACTGCCACCAATCACTAGTTCGTTGAAGGCGCAGAAGTCGGCGAAGAGTTCTCCATTTTCATTCATTTCTCCGAGAGCTTCTCTACCCATGATGAGTTCCCTTCCGTGTTGTCTGGTCCCAGTTTGGCGTTCATGTCTCCCATTAGTATTTTAATGTCGCCAGCTGGAGTATTGTCCATTGTTGCCTGTAGTTGTCTGTAGAATTCTTCTTTCTTTTCGAGGTCTGCGTTGTTTGTGGGTGCATAACATTGTATAATTGACACTTTCCTTCCTTTGGAGTTGAATCTGGCGGTCATTATCCTGGACGAGATCGCCTCCCATTGCATCAGGGCTTTCGTTGCCGTTGGTGACATCATGATAGCCACGCCCTCGGTGTGCGTGTGGTTATCTTCTGGGTGACCGGAGTAGATCACTGACTCACCCGTTGACAATTTGGTGAGTCCACTCCCATTCCATCTGCTTTCACATATTCCCAGCACTTGGATTCCGTATCTTTTCATCTCGTTTGCGATCTGGGCAGCTTTCCCAGTCTCGTACATAGTGCGGACGTTCCATGTCCCAACACAGACTTTTTCTTTTGGTGCAAAGAGGTTCATTTGCTGAAGTTTTTGTAGCAATTTTGTTTACAGGGTGGGGTTGCTAGCCTCACGCCTGAGAAGGAATGGTTACATCAAGATAAAGTTTAGAGAGAAGCGACCTTTTGGGTTGTTCCCCTAAAATCGGATAACAAGGGATAAAACAATCAGAACAACACCAGCAAAAGGAAAACAATTCACAGCAAAAAGGGAACAAAAGCGACAACAACAATACAATACAACAAGATGCAATATAGTTCAGCACAGTTAAGTGAAATGATACCAAAACAATAGACTCACTGCCTTGGGACAACTTGAACATATAGATCCAACAATATACACAGTTATAGATATGAGTTTATGTTAAAAATTTCACAAATCCAAACAGTTAGTTATAGGTATTATCTGTCAATAAGATTATATCCACAGATTTAGTGTTCGAAAGGTAAATAATTGTAATAATTTCCACAAACTCTTGGCATGAAATTCTACAGAAACAAGAGTTTTTATGAAAGTAGGGAAATGTAGCGCAGTAGTCAAAGGTTTTCCAATGGGTCTCTAACTGATGTCAGCTCATGATGAAATCCTCCAACCAATCGGACAAAAATCCCTACAAAACTAATACTTGAACATCCTAGTACATAGGAAGTGGTTTATATATGCATGACTGCCATGTTGAATCAATAACATTAAAAATGGCTTGATGTTGCAAGCTGTTTGAAGTTGCGGTCAGTTTTTAATGACTTTAATGAAGTCCAAGATAAGGAATATTAATCAGTAAAATCAAAAGATTATCAGGGCCTTCTATGTAGGAAGCGTGAAAAATAAACTTTGTCGCTTCACATGTCTGATGGTTTCTTTTACGTATGCAGTATCTAAACATTTTTAGTGTCGAGCAGGATTTGGTGGTACCCTCCGTAGTTGTTCTGTCTTATCTGTTGACTTGTCTATGAATGTGTACGTAGATTGGAATGCGTGACGGCCTAGTAAACTGTAGGGGATAATTTAAACATGATTCATGGTTATTACTCGGTGCCATTTAAATAACCTTTGATTATCATGCTTAAAGCTGTTCTAGTTCCCATTTCAACTACCGAGTAGCGAAGGCGCTTACTATTTACCATTGGAATCTGTTTACTATCTAATTCTATCATTCTACTTGTAATTTATAGTGTTTTTCTTTCTTCTTTTCCCAGTTAGAATACTGTAATGATATTTTGGTTTCGGGGTCGGGAGATGGCTCAATATATATTTGGTCTTCTTCAAAAAGAATGAAGTCATTAATTTCGTCAGACTAATGCCTTCAGTAATAAAGGACATTTCTTTATATATATATATATATATATATATATATATATATATATATATATATATATATATGGTGATCAGCTTTTTGTCTTTCCCTATCCTCTTTCTCTGGTGTGACCAAGGTTGTGTTTGGTTAGAATTGCTACGGGATTTATTTCCGCTTTGATATTTTAAATGATATCTACTTTGACTCAGACTTCACTTTTTGTTAGTTCTTATAAATTCTGTCAATAAATTATTTTGGGATAACTTGAAACTGTTGCTACCTAAGTTGCTTCATTAAATATTATCCACTAGCTTGGGTATGAAATTCATCCCGATATATCTATCTGTATATTTGTTTGTATATCATAATAAGTGAAAATAGCCCTCCGTAGTTAATATCTGATTTTCGAAACTGCCAGGTTAGAAGACCTAATAGTTGTAGCCATCGACTATGTATAACAGTAAGAGATACTCAAGTCCAGAATCCATTGTTTTGATAATAAATTATTTCAAACATCAATACTGGAAAAACTGTGACTCTTCATAGTCAACTTAAATGCGAATGCGTTTATTTTCCCAGCTTAGTTTATTTCATGTCATGGTAAATTGATTTGTACATGTGTTATGATTTTTTAAGCTAATTGGTGATAAACACTTATGAAGTGTGCAAAGTGATCAGTAAACTAATTTGATTGTATATTGCACACACTGTAATATGTTTTATTATTTCGAAGTGTTCCAAGGAAATGCTCAGTGTTCCCCGTGGTTTGCTCCAACTTTGTGGGTCAACTAAGGTCAGTGTGAAAATTGAGGTACCTAAGTAATCGGTGATTCTGATACTAGGGGTCACGTTAGTGCTAGGACATAGTCACACAAACTGCAGACCAACAGTTTTTGTATCTCTTGATACTTTGGGTACCTTCAATTTATTAAACAGGAAGATTCTTTGAAGTGTTTTCCCTAACAAATTTGTCAGCCTTCTGAAAGCCTTATACAATCAGTTATCACGACTGTTCTCAACCGACAACGGAGTCATAACTCTCTCCAACTTTGCCACTAATGATATTTTAGAAACGATTGTGGATTATGTGGTGTTAGTGTATATCTGCTGGCCGGAAAATGCCTTTGACCTTGACTGTGCAGTAGACGTCACCTTACCATACAGAGTACGTATAATGCATGTAGTTAATTGGCAATTACTGTAAGTAAAGTATATTCTTCCCTCTGTGTAAGTGCTGTTATAAGGTTGACAAGAGACTGTAGCTGCATTAACCCCTGCGATTCAACAGTTATAAGTAGTCCATAAGTCTATGTATCTAGGCTGTCGTGTGAATAGTGGGGCTGATATGACCTATAAAATCTCTAATCGTATAGTGAAAGCCAGAGTGGCATACACCATCCTAGGCCACATCTGACGACGCCGTGTGTCTTTTGTAGTTCAGGTTCACAGTGCATCGGCGCTCACAATTTTGCTACTTGACTGTGAAGCCTCGTCTCTCTGATCTGAGGAGATTCGAAACCTCTCTATGTCCGGCTATCACTACCTCTGTGGAATGGTTTGCACTCGGCATTGTCATCATGTAAATAATTCTGAGGTTTGATAGAGTGTAATCGGACGCAGCGGACGTTTTCTTCCGGTACATGATACCATCTAGGGGCTCAGGATTTGATATTTTGAACATGAGCTACGAATATCAGACCAGCGGTTCCTATAGAGTTCATCGTCTGCTGGGCCTGAGACTGAGTGGAAGAAGCGGGAGGAAATCAGCCGCGGGATGAGGGGTAGTTGTCTTAGATTAGCGTCTATTGGTACATCATGACTCATTGAATGGAATCAGAGAGGTAATCCGAATCAGTCCGTCGAGAGTCGAAATGCAATTATTGTCTCTCAAGGTCATTTGAAGTTTATATATATATATATATACTTGTACTTTATGTGATGAAAATAGCGTCAGGCAAGAACCAACTAACCTTTTTTCATCTAGTAAATAAACAATTTCCTCTATCCATCCTTATATACCTTCAAGTTTTACTTTTATTATTTCTATTATATTTATGGTCCTGTTACTTCTTTTACTCTCATAATTGCAAACACCAACTTATCTCCATGACTGCTGTAATCTTTGTTTTTCCCCTCACCATATCATGTAAAGAAAACATTATATTCAATATTTTTAAACATGTTAGGATTTCTATACCACATTGCCAATACTGTGTGAAACAAGCCCACGGAATTTTTCACTTGTATTATTATTATTACCCTAGCTGTTATCATTATTATTGTTATTTCCATTTTATATGCTGCATGTTTTTGACACTACCTTTATTGTAAATGTGGAAAATTTCCTGTGTGATTAATTTTTATTTATGATTTGATGAAATTAGATGCAATATTGTGATTAATGCTGAAAATTCCTTTCTGTATCACAAGTGCTGTTTTTGGAATAAAGTAAATTATTATTATTATTATTATTATTACTCAAGCAATGTCAACCATTTTCGCTGTTGATACGAGACAGTAAAAGCTCTCTACGTCAACAGTCTGTCTTCTCTTCTCGCATTGCGGTTTCGTGTTTTTGTTGTTGCTAATAGTGATTCGAATAGTAGGCTGGCGAATCGACTCGGTAGGAAATTTGTTAGCGCAAACTACCGAGTGTATTAACGGTCATAATATGAACAACACTTAATTGACGAGGCATCATATTTACCCGTCGGAAATACTAATGTCACTGAAGAGACATCTTAGGATTTTATTGATACATAGATTGCTCTTGGACTACATAAATCATTGGGCTGTTTAAATTCTATACGTCAATAAATTATGATAGGGAAACTGTTAATACACTTTCCAGGTGTTAACATGTAAAAACAACGAATAGGATTTAGTGAGTAGTGATAAAATTTGGAGAAAAATGAACATGCACTAAGTAAAGATATATTTAGCTTTCAATGTGAACAAAACAAGAGCAGAATCTAAAAAAATCGGTAAAATATCAATTATTCATGGATAATCCCCATCCAGGCATTAATGAAAACAACACACATAGACCAGCGAAGAGTCTCTTTTCGGCGAATTCACCTTGAACTAGATGATGGTCTGAGCCCACATCCGCTACTCTTCTCGACTTTGTATGCAGCAGGCTACGTCTCCACTTCCTTGATCAGCATTGACACGAAGTCTATCTGATTTGTGATGTGTCCATCAGGCGAAACCCATGTTGCTTTGAGTATGTTTTTTTTGCTTGTACACGCTACCTGCAATCACCAGATCACTGAAAGCGTGGAAGTCTATGATGACACCATTTGGGTTGCTGTCCATTTATGCTTGCAGTTGTTTATAGAAATCTTCCTTCTCTTGTTCCGCGTTGTTTGTACGTTCCTGACATGGAATGATCGGGCTTTTCTTCCCTTTCGCGTTAAATCTTGCTGTCATAAACCTGGACAAAATTGGATCCCACTGTATTAGGTTTTTAGCTGCCACTAATGACATCATGATAGCCGCTCTCTGCTTCAGTGCGCCCATCGTTGTCACCTGGGTGACCAGGCCGGAGTAAATTACTGGCTATCCAGTTAGCGATTTTGATAATCCCCACCCATTCCATCTGTTCCGTCAGATTCTCAGTAGTTCCTTATCATTTCTTCTCGTTCTTCGGCTACCTGGCCAGCCTTTGCAGCCATCCTCGTACATTCCACTTTCCCATTCTTATTTCTGCTTTCACAGTGATACAAGTGACTATTAGGATTATTTGAATGTGAGGCGTTTAAACAGTCGGAAAATTTCCGTAGGTAACTAAAATTCGTACTGGTATTTCTGTAATTGTTTTTTGTTAATATTGTGGTTAAACTGCGGATTAGGTTTCTCAGTCCTTTTCACACACCTCAGTTGTTTGCTTTAGTCTCTGGAAGAGTCAGTATTTTGTCTGCGTATTTGATTTCTTTTGAGAAAAGTGCATTCTCGCTAGTACGAGTCGAAATAACGATCAGTTTTAAGGAGTTTAAATATACGATGAGTGGTATTTAGTGAGACAACAAAACTCGACATAAAAACTAGTGAAAGAAACCGCATTAATATGCAATGTATTCTTTGAATTTATGCTTATGACGCTTACAAGAAATCTGGTCATATTTAACTGATTAATCTAGGATACAACTGTTCAGCTTCTATTCTCATTCCATTCTTTTAGTTTCTTTTCCAAATTAGGAAAGTGAAGGTGAAGCCGTGAAATCTAAGCACATCCGCAGATTGGGTGTGAAGATAGATACTCGCCGATAACATTGGCTAGTGGTCGCGCTATGATGTGATATGGAATAAGCTGAAATTTATGAGCTGTTTGATCGGGTTCCTTTGGCTTAATGGTCTACGAGCTCGCCTTGTAACGGAAACGTACTGGGTGTGAATCCCGGTCTGTGTGTACTGATGAAGAGTCCCAAACTACGTGGGTGTCCAACCGACGTCAGCTCATGATGAAATCTTGTAACCAGTGTAATTTCTGTTTATTTATACACAAATTTGCATGTTTTCGTTAAAACACAAGCTATGCAATAATGGATATATGTGTTTACGACTGCTCATCGGAGACTGATAACTTCCCATTTCTTTAAACAATGCAGTTACTCGATATCTGACTTGCACTGAATATTAAATTTTTAAGATAATTAGCGTAGTGATTATTATAAATCTAGATATGCCCAAATTCTATTCTTTTATCAACGAATTTAGATATGATGGAGAAGATATGCAGCTCAAGTGGATGATGTTGGTGCCGCTGTGTTTAGTTGCGAAGCTTTCATTATCTTTCTAGACAATGTCTTCATCGGGAACTTCAGTATGAAGTGGGTTTTTAGAATTCTCCATGAATATAAAAGCCTACTATATTGATGAATTGAACGTGATTAGTTGTTTATTCACAGTGTGAATAAAGGTGGTATTCGCTTAAGCTACCATGAATAAAGCGTTTTATATGACAGAGAGTATAAAGGTGAAAAATAAATACAGTGTAAAATCCTGGAGATGGAACTCTCCAACCAAACCTAGCTTCCTCTCGAATATACAAAATGATTCCAGACATTTTCTTGACAGTCATAATCGATTGAGCAATTGTCATATTTAGTATGAATTCAGAAATAAAATCAGTACATTTATTAACACGAAGTAATCACTGGGAGGAATCTAAAGAAGACCGTCTGCTTCGAGTGTATGTGGTGTGTAATAGGAAATAAAAGCAAACCAGAACCGGAAGGGGAGAGAGACAAAAGCTCTCGTTACTTTGAAATCGGTGCGGGGATCTACAGCACAAAATTAAAGTTCAGAATTTTGAACGTTAATGCCAAATCAGTGTTTCTGTATGATTGAAAGACTCGGCACGCGATTCATCGTAGGCATTTCTAACTGAATTTCCGGATTAATCTCATAAACAGCTGCATTCACTGGCTAAATACTGTTCAAATGGCCAGCAGCATTGCATCCCAGGTCCTCGAGTGGAACTTGAGTAAGAAGTGATGGTCTGATTGTCTGGCAGATGAGAAATAACATGGTGAGGAGGAGATGAAAGCTTGTGAGTATTCATACAAACAGTTAAAAGTGATGGCAGAGAACCAAGTGACATAGGGGTTTGTATCTGAAGCCAAAAGTCAAGTAAATTTCATTATGTAACTTGTTATCTAGAATTTATAATTTTAATAACACATCTTTGGGTATACTTCTTTTGTTGCTGAGAAAATTTACTAGGTATGTGGGATTATACAGCTTAAAAATGATATCGCTGAAAAGAGTTAGTCTTCGCTGAACATCTTTTATATGAAATGAATCAATAGGGATTTTAAGTTGTGCCGGTGGCACAGTATTCGAATGCTCGCCAACCGGTTCGGTATTCGACCCCCTGCTGACGCACTCTTTTAACTCACTATGCCAGTATTAAGACTGGCAAAGAGGGAAGGTTGGGCATGAGGCTAGCGACCTCATTCCGTAAAAATAAATACCACTGTTACTGAAACTTGAAAGCTCTCGCTGAAGACCTATGTTCCACCGGGAACGTAAACAAATAAAAGAGAGTAGCAACACTTCATTGTTGCTTGGAAAAGAAATAGTAACGTAAAACGGGTGTACATACTATGTATTTGGAGTAAGTCTACATCATCGCATACTCAAAGATGACTGACTGTTAGTTCTGTTTAAACAAATTAATTATTATTTGCTTTGAATGAATAGGAAGCGAATAACTAACTAACGCTTTTAATATCACGAGAGCTACGCATATTTGATTGACTGCGGTGACGTAAAATAGGAGTTAAACTTAGGCACTGATATTATATATGACTTCGGTTTAATTTGCCTGTATGTAGTATTGCAAACCATTGTTCACTAGGGTGTAACCAGTGTCAAGTGTACAGGCCTTAATATGTAAATAAATTTGAAACCTATTTTATTGTGATACAAATTCGCGAATATCTGCGATGATTTCAGAATGTCTGTATTGTATTTTGACCATTGAGAACGAAAGAATAGTGCATTAAGGAAAAATTTAAAAAGGTGTTCGGAAGTGTTGTGTTTACCCTGATAAAATTATAAGCAGTAGGCTGTGACGATATACTTTCTAATATAAAATGCTCTCTCACAATATACCATAACAACAAATAAACAAACTGCGATGCAATCATAATGGAGCGACTGAATAATTTTACGGCAAATAACGTTTGGTTTTTTTCCAACCAGCCACTAAAACACCGCGGTGCTAGTATTTTGTTTTAATGAAACAAGCTATTTTGCTCCCTAGTAAACAGTGAACACTATATTTAATGAATATAATTCGACGTAGGAGACTAGCAAAGCGCATTAAAACTATATTTTCTTCTTCACAGAGTGTCTACTTAGCTTATTACAGTTGTGTATATAGCATGTTCAACACGTAGAGTGCCCAAGTTTTATACTTATATCAATAATTTTGCAGAATAATTTGGCTTCAAAAAATTTAATGTGAAATTCCATCAGTGTCTTAAATTATTTCATGATATTGCCTCTATGAATATAAGACGTCACCTCTTCAATACACTTGACGATACCCGAGTTAAACATCGGATAGTATATATTGTGGTTATCTAGACCCAAGTATTTTTATACATGCATATACATTTGATGACATTGAAAGCAAAAGGTCTGTTATCCTACCTACAATGATAAATACATGTCTGTAGTAAAGTTCTGAAGCAGTAAAAATGAACCATTCGACGCAAATTTTCTAAAATTCTACCTGAAGCTTTTTGAGCACTTTAACTAATCATAATGTAAGCACCCATTTAACTGTTCCTATCAATAGCAAATAACACAGCAAACTCTTTGCAAATCTAAATCTATTCATAAGTCACTGTAGCTTTGATAATAATAATAGCTTTATTCCAAACAGTATTTGTGGTACAGGTATGGAATTTTCAACGTGCATTACAATATATTGCATCTAATTACCTCATAAGTTTTCTAAGATTTTAAAATCAAAAAGCAACACAAAAAAGATAAACAAAAAGAACAGTGTTGCGTTTACATTTTAAACAATGCAGCGCAGGATATAAAATAAAAGACATGAGACATGATTTATATACCAATATAACTTATGCGGTGATAAATACGGTAACATAAAGTCACGTAAGATTTAGAAGTTTCTTTAAAAAGTGCCAGGTTCTGCGGCCGCCTTGCGTTCACATAGAACATTTTCAGACACAGATTATTACTCAGAGTAAAACAAACTAAATAGAGCTTCCCGATCAATGCATATTTCGACACAACTTTTTTAAAAGTTCGGTGTTCATACATTTGACTTCGTGTTGATTTCATTGAGATTTGAATGATACTAAAAACCGAACTGTTAACATATATATATATATATCACTGCAGATAAACAATTTATTATGAATGCCTTGTTAAATACGTGGAGTACTGAGGTGTTATCTAAAGTAAACTGGTAAGATGCATTTTGTAAATAAACATATACCCTTCGGAGACAGAAATGAACTGAATCTTTAAGTAATGGTCTGTTTTGGAAAATTACAACGAATACATCACAAACTACAATTTTAGCGGTCAGATACACGTGAGACATATGAAGCTAGATATACAAATAAGAATTTTGTCCTTCGTTCACACTCATACATATATGCACACTGCACTCTATAACAGTGAAGAAGTAACTGTGCACTGCCTACCATTTTCGACTGGTTTCAAAGCATTCCATTGATGAGTGGTGGAAGTTGACTTCTGTCCTCATAAAGTGTGCTCCAGTATACGACTGGAGCATTCATTGAATATTGCAATGGAAGTATTATCGGTTTTTTCAACTACTTCATTGTAGCTGAGTCGGTTTCCAATCTGGACACTATCTTTTTTCCCTATGATTGTGAGTTTGATGGAGTGTCTTATGTGCCTGGCTTTTAACATCTAGCAATGGTAAAATACGCACCATAACAATTATATCCGCTCCACTCAGGAATTTATCTTTACTCACTGATGAACATAGACAGGTTAGCTCGGAAAACGATTAACCAAACGAATAAATAGTGTTATCTTATCTCATCTAACTGGTGGTGATTACTAAATCGAAATAAATGAGTTATTTAATGTCGTGCCAAAATATCTGTCACAGGTGAAGTTACAAGAAGGAAAATAAATTCATCCATTTTGGCTACGTTGGCCCACCATAAGGTCATCAGTGATGCGATCATCTCATATTTCACTTCCTACTACTCACTTATTACTCCTTTTCAACTAATTTACTTCAAATCATCATTATCATTACCATAAATTGACACCGTTTGGATTTTCACTAAGCTTTTCTTACCTTCGTTGTTTGATTGCAGTTCAGGATATGACCATTATATTTTATCTTTACTTTTATTGTTTATCTTCCCTCTAACTTACATTTAGTGCGCTCCATTTTGTTTGTTTATCTTTTTGTAGTGTTCATGTTTCTCTTGCACCAGTGTACATAATTCAATCCCTGAAACTTACATTTCTGTTGATTATAAATGCACAACCAAGTCTTAATTGTTTATTCAGATGCACACCTATGTTTTTGATGTGGTTGTGTTCTCTGAGCTGGATAGTTCATTCGTGAAGCTTTCATCACCCTACTAGGTGACATTTTCAGTGCATACTTCAATTTAAAGTGAGCTTTTAGATTTGTCGACGAGTTTATTAATCATCTCTCCTGGTGACCTTGGAGGTGATTGGTTGTTCTTGTGTATTCTCACACCATCTAGGTTACTTGTCCTTATGTTCTTAATGATTGCATATTTTGTGAGCATTGAAACGATAATTAAAAACCAATGGATAATTATTTCATCTTGCAGCTCTAGCCCAATACAGTCTCTGACATAATTTGGATTTGTCTTTACTAGTTATTGTATTCTAATATTCATGGACTTATAATTCTGAAAAGCCTTAAGAAGTTATTTGAAACAATTTTTCCCTCAAGTTATTCTCGTTCCTGATTAGCTGACTTCTTTAGGATGACTAGACTGTTAGGTAAGTGGTAATCAGGTGCATAGTAAATTCTTACTAAAACATATATAGCCTATGGCTTTTAAAATATCTGCGTCATTGCCGTAAATCTACTGTCTGTTGGAATGTATGTCAATATCACCATCCATCTCACTTGATACGTCTTGACTGTTCACCCATATGATGTAACCACTACCAAAATATCTTCAAATATTACAACAGCTAGATGCTCAATAAATTTATTGTACTGAAATCAGATAAATGATGGAAGTTGGGAGAAATAAGCAATTTAAAGTTACCACGGGAATCTTCTCGAAGGAGGAATATCTGTAAAAGGAAACAACAGAGTATTACTGCAATGTAATCTACTTTGAGCTGATGTTAGAAGAGTATATTATAGAGAGAAGAGTTAAATATGCAAGATGAGTTGATTGATGGAAGTGGCGTAGGACTCAGAGAGTTTTATTCTCTTAAGAAATATGGAAAAGTGTGCACACTTAGAAGATGTGGTGGTTGGTTGAGTGCACATCAGTGTTATCTGCAAGATCATGAACACATGCATAAATACATACATATACATAAATATAAGTTTTGTTGAGAATACTTGAAAGCAAACTTAGTGAAAGGGTAACCAAAGTCATGTGGACAATCCAAAGTAAATATCTGTTAGGTGGACGATTGAACAGTGAAGTGTGACAGAACATCAAAACTTGAATATTGTGACTGAGAGCGGGAAGTGCAATTTGTAAGAAGTGAAGTTCATGAAGGCTGTCCCCATTCTCTGTATTTTTTCGCACCTGCTACCATATAAAATCCATGAACTACATTTTGGTGCATTTGAATTTATGAATAAAGTGAGCACATTTCACTGAAAAATAAAGTCTCCTTGAAATTAAGGGGTTTTGTTTGCGATGTAGTTGTACGGGGAAAAATTGGCTACCATTCATTTCATTGTGAGTTCAGTCTTCTAGTGACATCCTGTCTCATGAACTGCTAGAATGTTTACTGTCTTCAACATTTTATGATTGTTTAACTGTCCTTGTATGCTTGTTCCTCTCCAGTTATGATGGGATGAATTTTAATCATCTTTTCAGTAAACTCATTTTGTGACTTCAGGATCTTTTTATTAGTCCTACGAGGTTTTTGAAGGCAGTTACATGTACATTACGTAACGGTTTGAAATAAATGGAACACACTACAGAGTCCACAACAGACCTAGACAGATATACTGTCCATATAATATCCATGAGAGTACGGAATAATTCCGCATTACCATCAACTAATCCTATGGTTATAGCTGTATTCATTAGATAAAATGTAGTTTGAGGGATGCTGAACAATGTAAAAGTGAATGAAATTACCACGAGAAATTTCGAAACTCGAAATTGTTCTTTATCAATTTGCTGTGAGCCTTTGATAACATTATCCACCCTTCCTTGTTTAAGCATGCGCTTATGAAAAAAGAAGTTACATGCAAATGCCAAGGTCAGTTGTACCGGTGCTATGTTAGTGAATAAGGCTTCATAAAATAGTATGTACGAATTTTCTGCACTAATCCAACAGTTTAATTTACCTTTGTCATTAAATATCTGAGACATTAGGAGAAATGGCAATGCAATCAAGAGAGACAGGGTTAATGAGATTGAGAACATATACCACACAAACTTACTTGGCAATTTAGCAAATAAAGTCGGCTTTAGAACGTTTAATAAACGATCGGATGCTGCAAACATTAAAAAGTTGCACATCATTGCAGTCGAAAATGCCTGCGTGAAACGGTAAAACCTGCAGACGTTTTCAGACACGTAAAAGATAAAGAAGTACTTCTGACCTCCAGTGGCATATGGTAAACCTTTTGTAAGATAGATGCCGAATACACCGCAGGTAATAATCATGAATATGTTTCCTATAAGTATACCAAGCAGATACATAGTTGATCTTTTTATCCGTCCTACATATACTGCTACACACAAAACACAGAAATTCCAAGTCAGTGAATATGAAAGCCCGAAGGGTAGTAAATAAGCTGAAATGAATCCAAGTGTCAATGAAGATATGCACAATGCGTTATTACTCGGCGTCCATTCCACTTCCAATGAATCACATGATAATTTGGCGAACCACGGGGATTCTTTAAATGGCCAAGTACTCGAGTTAAATTCCATCTGCTCGTTTATTGATGTTGCTCTCAGTGATGACAACACAGATTTATGAGGAATGCTTGTCGAGGTATGTGTGTTTGTGTGACGTCGTTTCTTGACTAGTATATCAAGTAGTTAATTACCAAGACAAGTGTCATCAGAGTTATCGATGAGAATGACGTACTAATGTGATGAAATTATATTAGAATTCCAGATGAGTTCGTGGGAAATCAGTTGTGTAGCTCTAAATAGGCAGGCTCTTTCTGAAATGTGTCTCATGAAATCATCACAGTGATATTTAGTTAAAACTGAGCGAGATGTGTTATTCTATGAAGAGTGTCTGTGTCATTATGATTGGTGTTAATTGATAAATTAGAATTGAATGAGAACATTCGATTGGTCGATAAAACAAGATTTCAGGAAACTATTCTCAACCAATCACATAAAGATATACTTCAGAGAGAGTGATAGGTCGTTAGCTGTTGCATTGCCATGTCTGTGAGAAAACTCCTAAGTAATGTTTCATGACAATGTGTACATCACAGAGAAAAAGCAAATTAATTTTCACAAAATTATCCTCAGAGAGGCTCTATTCAGCTGGGGAGAATCCCCTTGTATCAGTGAACATGTGTCGAATGCGTTTAGCTTAACGACACACAAAAGCGACGGAAAAGCTGGATAGCTGGATTCAAATAGTGGTATGAATAACTTTATGTCCTTCGTTCACACTCATACATATATGCACACTGCACTCTATAACAGTGAAGAAGTAACTGTGCACTGCCTACCATTTTCGACTGGTTTCAAAGCATTCCATTGATGAGTGGTGGAAGTTGACTTCTGTCCTCATAAAGTGTGCTCCAGTATACGACTGGAGCATTCATTGAATATTGCAATGGAAGTATTATCGGTTTTCTCAACTACTTCATTGTAGCTGAGTCGGTTTCCAATCTGGACCTTATCTTGTCCTAAGGATTTGAATATTTAATGGCATGAAGTCAGAGGAAGTATACCCGTCCCTAACACCTCTTTAAGACTAGATCAATTCTACACATATCATTTGGAGGGATTTTCGCCCAAATTGCGAATTCGCCAATCACACCATTGAAAACATACATTCCAACAATTCAAATTATACGAGTGTAAGACATTGAAACAGTTGGAAAATTTCTCTAGCCAACTAAAATTCACACTGGTCTGTTTTTCCTTCGACAACGACGTGTGACATGCCTTCATGTGTCTCACAGATGCATGCATAATCTTCGGAGTCATCTGCAAGCTCTGGTAGGTGTAATTTGTAGCCGTATAGATAAGACAACTTTCCACTCAGTCAATTTTATTCAAATCGAATGAAGCATTGAGATTCAGATGATAGGGATGGTAGGCTCTAGTGGCCTGTGTTAATCCTTGCAAAATATATCTCTGCAAAGACCTAAATTCTCTTTGAAAGCGTTCACCAATGGAGCTGATATTACTGAATCAGATAAGGAGTTCCAGTTGTTGACCACTCCGTGGGAGAATCTAAATTCTGCACTTATCTTAATCGTCCTCGGTTTGAGCACCTTTTTGTGGTGACCCCGTAAATGTATCCTAGAAGGGGAGAAAAGGTTAGAAAGGTCAGTTCCCAAATCACCCGACTTGTATCAACTTGTATCAGTCATATGCAGTTGCTGGGTTCCCGATTTTCGGTATGTCCACTTTCCAAGTATTTGGACGAGCAGATGTTGATCTGGGTATGAGAGAATGAATCTTAAACGTAAAAGTAATGACTACGTGGTCACTGCCATCAAGCGGCGGAAGGCACCTAATGTTACCAACGTCCTCCTTCTGGTGTGTTAGTATCCAGTCAAGAGTAGACGGATCATGCTCAGGGTGATATCGTGTTGGTGTATGCATATGTTGCACGGGTGGACATTCAAGCACTGTCAGTGTGAACTCCCTATTGAAACAGGTATACATGCTAATGGATTTTAATTCCCCCCAATTAATATGTGGAGCGTTAAAGTCACCAACCACCAGACACCTATTTCTACTACTCCACGCCCCAAAGGGATTTAGAACGAAGCCATTAACTTGGCTAGCAGGAATTCTGTAAATAGACCCTATCGTTAAAGTGCCCTTGTTCAAGTTAATGACAAACTTGCGACTTCACTAGTGCCGCTATCATGTGCTTCTGACAGCGTTGACCTAATTCTTATGTCTTCCCTGATATTTTTTGATTTTTTTAATTTTTTATTTACAGCTTGATTTCACACTGTATTTTTGGTACAAGTATGGAATTTTCACCATGGATATCGGTAACCCAATTTCGCAGACCGTCCATAGATATCAGGTGTGCGTCGGCAGGGGATCGAACCTCGGACCATTTGCATGGTCGGCGAGAGTACTAACCACTGTGTCAACTTCGCCACCTTTCCGAATAATTACTCTGTCCACTCTCATGCAGTTGTAGACAGGTATGAGTGGATTAACTCTTTTAGCTCGTTCGACTTCTCGAGTTTTTTTTCAAAAGCACCTTCGTGACGCGCTCGTCTTAGTCGTAGTTCACCTCCTTAACGATAGACTTTGGCCAGAGGCCTCTGGGTGTGTCAGTACTGATAACTGGGACAAGATCACCATGTTGTAGGTTACGCTTTATATCCAACCATTTAGATCTTTCTTGCAGCATCGGAAGGTATTCACGTAGCCATCTATGCTAGAACAAATCAGTTAAATTTCGTGCTTCCTTCCATCTTTTATTATACAATGACGTTCTGCTAGATTCTGTTCCTTCAAACATCAACTGTTTATGAAGTATTAATAATTTATTCGGAGTTAGTACACTTAATTCATTGCTATCACCTGTTAACCTTACCAACAATTGACTGTACCCCAAATACCGTTTGGAATAAAGCTGTTATTATTCTATTCTAACAATTGACTGTTTAAAATTCCTTCAGAATCCACCAAGAATGTTTCTAGTGTTTCGTCTATCAGCACTTTCATAAACAGTAGCGTCCGTAAGATCTTTCTACCAGATCTAATAACGCGCTCCCATACACCTCCACGATGACTGGCTCTAGGTGGATTGAAATGCCATTCACATCCTTCTTCTAGAAGATTATTTGCTATCTTAGTCTTATCCCAACTTCCAATAATTTGCTTCAAACTAGCATCGGTCCCCTTGAAGTTAGAACCGTTGTCACTAAATATGTACTCCGGGTATCCGTGCAGCAAATCTAGAGAATGCAAACAGAAAGGAGTCGGTGTCTAAGGTATGTGCCATTTCGATATGAACCGCTCCTATCGATAAGCACGTAAACAGACAACCGTAACGTTTTTCAACAACGCTTCTTCTTAGTAAAAAATGGTTCAACAGAATTGAACGGTGATACATGAGCCTTTAACCGGCACTCTGGTAATGGAGCCATTATCTGAGAACATTGTGCAGTATTAAGTCTCTTGCATAAGTAAGATTGCTTCAATACTCTCCTAACCGTAGAATAACCTTTAATAATCCAGAATTCTTTCCGAAGACTATTTAGAACATGCATAATGCCTGCATGAGCATTCTGAAGATGGCAATGCATCACTATCATATCAGTGACAAAGTGCTTACTAGGAAATGTAATTGGATGTTTATTGTCAAAGGGTAGGCATGATAATTGTAAGCGACCTCCTACTCGAATGGTGTCGTCTACCACAAATGGATTGAGTTTCTTTATCGTAGATCCGAGGACAGTGCCACCTTTCATGGCTTTGCAGGACGACCGCATATGACGTAGCAACTCGTTGCTCATCCCGACCTTTCCAACTTCAAAGCCATTAGCAATGTTTCTACTATCACTTCCTGTAGACCTCAGTGCCCCAATCTCGTCGGGAAATGTAGCTCTCTGCACTAACTTAAGTATATGCAACTTAGCTTTGCTGATATCCTCTAGCGGTAGTTTGTAAGCGATAGACGGTTTTCCGCTCTTTCTCATTTACAAATTGCGCATAAAATGCTGATATAAGGCGAAAACTCTTAGCACCTTAAACCATGAAGTGAACGCTCTGAATCTACCTAGTAGTTGATCCTGTTCCTTTAAGTGTATCGACCAACAGGCTTCGCCCACTAACACATTATCGCTGATAACACTTCCATCATCATTCATATAAGACCAATTCTCTTCCCTGTCCCTTAGAAATTGTGGTCCATAAAGCCACTCGTTAAGCTTAACATCATTATCTAATGAAAGTCCACGTGAGGCGTAATCAGCAGGATTCTGTTTACTACCGACGTGTCTCCACTGATCTGGTGTGGACAACACAATGATAACTGCGAGTGTGTCGCTTACAAATCTTTTCGTAGTGTTTGAAGCACAATTTATGAGTCCGTCCAGTAAATCATTGATGAAATTGGCACGCTAAGCTGTTGATGCAGATGTTTACCTGTCTTGAGACATAATACAGCAACTACTAACTCTAGTCTAGGTATAGTAACAGATTTGAATGGTGCAACTCTCTCTCTCTCTCTCTCTATATATATATATATATATATATACTACAGCACCGTATGCGAATTCTGAAGCGTCTGAGAAACAGTGAAGATGAATGCTCAACAGTTCACTAGAAATGGGCATTATACATCGTGGAATAAGAATTTTATGCAAATGATTAATATTCTTATACCATCTGTTCCAGGAGGCTAGGCAGTCTTCAGGTAGGTCTGCATCCCATTCTAATCGCCTTC